CGCCGCCGCCGCCGCCATCTTGTTGTGCAGTGAACCCTCCGGGGCCGCGGGGAGCCGGCGGGGGGGAGGGGGGGAGGGGGCAGAGGGGCGGGAAAAGAGGTGGGGGGGAGCCGGGGGACGTCACTCCGGGAGGCGGAGCGCCCGCGCCGCCGGGGCCTGGCGCCATGGCAACCGCTCGTCACGTGCCGACGCGCGTCACTGCCTAGAGCCATGGCAACCGTGACCTCACCGGAGAGCTCGACCTTCCCGCGTGGGCACTGTTCCTCGGGTGTCGGCTCCCGGGTGCCCCCCTTCGGGGAGGAGACAGTGGGCACCGCCAGTGTGCCAGCAGGTTCCAAGCCGCCGCAGCGTTGCCGGAGTCGGGGGGTGCTTATGCCTGACCCAAACCCGCCCTCGATCCCCCCCGGAACAGCTAATGTGACCCCTAGTGTGACCTCTGTCCCAGTTCGGCAATCACCCAGCCTCCTTTAAAACAAAGTATTTCCTCATCACCAGAAATATTAGCACTGTCCCACTTTAGCCCTTGAGGCCCCAAAGGCAGGAATAGCTACAGTATCGAAGCAACTGCAACCAAGTCGGAAGCGAGGCAGGGGAATTCTTCAGTAAAATTCCTTCCTCTTACAAAACCCAACTCACCCGGTGCAACTACTCTAATTGTCACCGAATGTAGAGGAATGGGGAAATTAGGATTTGCGTGTTCAAGGGCGGAGAAACCAGCCCAAACACGCATTCCAGTCATTGGGTGGGTGGGTGGGTGAGGGCCAGAGCAGGGACGTCATTTTCCTTCCTCCCACCCCGTCTCTGAATAAGTCTATAGCTAGATGATTGTCAAAGAAGTGCCTGCGTCCTATATCTGTCACTTGTATAAGCCTGATGAAGTGCACGTCATGGTTAAATACGTTACGTCTGTTAGGCAAAATAAATAAGTAAATAATAAAATAAAAATTCACCCTTACCAGCGACTCTCCAAGGACATTAAAGGTGATCAAATCAAATTCCAGCAGTAAATCTCATATCCCTTTTTCTTCTCTCCTGTGTTATCTGCCATTCCACACCCTCCAGAGCCCTCACTATCTCCCAGGTTTCCCCCTCCTTCCCCCCCCCTTTATTAAGTAGATGGGCTTTAACAGCTTCAGGTGGGGCCGGGGAGGGGTAGGCTACTGGGCTATCAATAACGAGATGGTCTGGTCAGGCAAGTGGGGAGGAGGGAAGGCTGTGAGCACTCCAATGCTGAAATGTATTCCTCCTTCCAGTCCTGACCCCTCCACATCTATGTCTCTCTCGATGGCAGAACTGTGTTGTCAGGTCACTGCATGTACAATATTAAAAACTGACACCCAGGGCACTGTGAATGTATGAGAAGCAGAGCCCCTATTTACTCTCTCTGACCAAAAGATATTTACTAGCTCTCTGATTCCCCATCTGACTGAATAATGGCTGGGACTAGGACAGGACAGGGAGGTCATTCCACAATTGCCTTGAATCAATTCCCTGGTTGCTGTTCCAAATTACCAGCACAATTAACACTAATTGGCTTCTTTACTAGCAAATAAGGATAAGGATGAAGTGGTCCTCGGCTTCTTGCAGTGGTTAAGCCCTTTCATTGGTTGAGCTCATTCAATTCCAGATAAATGATGGCATGTGGCCAGCCTCTCATCACTTTGACCCTACTCACCTGCCTCGAACAGGGACTGTACATTAACTTTGGTGCTGGGCCCCAGGGTCCCAGTTATCCTATCTCCTTAAGGAAAGGAGGAGGATGGGGGTCTCAACAGAAAACTTATGAGCAATAAGGCAAGGGGAAAAACCCTTTTGCTCCGAGGGCTGCAAGAGCAGCACTGAAACCATTCTTGTAACAACTTTACAGCCTCTCCTCCACCCATGGAGATCATTTGAACATCAGGTACAGCAACTTCTGCTGCTCTCTGGAGGGTGTCAAAAACAAAGAAGCCTCTGGGGAGAAACTAGAAAATGGAGCGTTGGTCTAACTTCCCAGAAGAAGAGGCAGGCAGATCACTCTTGTCCCTAGTAATGGCCAGAATGTGTATGCTGTGTATCATGTGATTTACGCTCTGTGCCTGTATGGATAGAGGCCAGTAGATGCTGTGTCCTATTGAGACTTGGACAAAGATTTGCTGGAGATTTCTCTGAAGAGTCCTCTTTGGTGAGAATAATATAGAAAATTAGGGAGGGGATTGATGAACGAAGATCATCAGGGAAAAAGGAAAACAGTTTAGATGTATGTATTTAATAATTATTTGTCAGGCTTCCCTGGTGGCGCAGTGGTTGAGAGTCCGCCTGCCGATGCAGGGGACACGGGGTCATGCCCCGGTCCGGGAGGATCCCACGTGCCGCGGAGCAGCTGGGCCCGTGAGCCATGGCCGCTAAGCCTGCGTGTCCAGAGCCTGTGCTCCACAATGGGAGAGGCCACAACAGTGAGAGGTCCACGTACCGCAAAAATATTAATAAATAAAATAATAATAATTATTATTATTATTTGTCAAATACCAAGAACTGAGTTAAGCTTGGAAGGAACTCACAATAACAACAATTTGCCAGGCACTATGCTAAGCAGTTTATATAAATGAACTTACTTAATCTTGAACAACCCTGTGAAACAGAATATATTATTATCCCCATTTTGCAGATAAGGAAAATGAGGCACAGAGGGATTAAGGGAGTTGACCATGGTCATAGGGCTAGAAAGTGAATCCTAGAATTAGGATTCAAACCCAGGAAGCCTACCTCTGGAAGCTGAGATCCTCCCCCACTGGATTATAAACCCTGTCAGAGTAGTAGCTAGTAGGAAAAGTAGTTTCCCCCAAAACTCAGTTTAGACCCAGGGAAGAAGACTTGGAGAGTTCTGGAGAACAGGGCAGAGCAGGCACCGAAGCATATCAATAAAGAACAGATAGTAAAACTGATTGAAGTGATGGCTTTACTTGCAAGTAGCTCCATGAAGAGACTCACTACTTATTGTGCAGGAGTTTTGCTGCCCTTAGAAAACAGACAAGGTGTGTTCCTGCCCTGCTGCAGACTCAGAGGGGTAGCCTGAGGGCTGGATTCTCGGGAGTCCTGCAGTCCAGGGTGGAGACAGAGCTAGCCACCATCCAGCTTCCAATCCACCACCATAACCAATTTGCTCTTTTCTAAAAAAGCAAAAGATAGATTCAAAGATGAAAATGAGACATTTTCCTCTGTAATGTCATTGCGTTTTGTTTCTAAAATTTGAAAAGGGCAAACCAAGGCATTCTTGATGGATATGATAGGCCCTTAGGAACTTCTGGAAGTGATGCAAAACCTCTGAGGACCTAAGGTCTGAGTGGGGAGTGATATAAGCAGTGGGAGGGAATACATTAACTCTTTTATGAATTTAAAGGCCCACTTAGCCTGTCTGCAGAGCAGTTTACCAACAACCCGAAAGGAAACTGCAGCCTCACCACATAACTCCATAGATTCTCAGAGGCATCAGGACCTTGAAGAAAGTCTAACCCCTCACTCTACATTGTCCCAGCTCATTACTGCTCTGAAAGAAGCTAGCATTATATGAGCATTCAGTGACACAAAAGCATTATTCAGAAACTCTGTATGACAAAAGGCAACATCATATAATGTTTACGTGCCACATATTCCCAAACAAGGCCATTATTCACCAGTTAGAAATTCTGCCATCACACAGAAATCAGGTCACTGTTGGATACACATTGTCAGGACACTCAGTGTGCCCTGGTTCTCTGGGTGAGCTGAAGGTGCATCTTCTCTCTGTTGGGGCAGTGCTCTGAGTTACCACCTCAGCTGTGTGGCTTTTGCCTTTCCTTTCCTATCCCAGACCAACCTAGTCATGACCAAGTGCATCCTCTGGGTGCCCAGAAACAGGTCTGAGCAAAGTAAGTACATAGTCTCCTGCTGTAAAATATCTTGGGGAGGGGGCTTGAGAGCAGCTTTCAGTCAAGGATTTTCTGTCCTGCTTGCCTACATTTTTCTTTTTAATGGAACCATTCAAGCTACTAAATGAAACATAAAAATTACCCTTGCTACTTTGCATATGTCCTAGGATACAGTTTAAGCATTTTTAGATTATTATTAAATAATTACCCTTTAGATCATCCAAAAGACCTTTAAGTGTGATGTTTTTAAGGTTTTCTGCATTCTTAGATGTGACTATATTATCATTTGGGATCAATGTTTTCCTCAGGTAAATACACCTGTGGTTTTATAAGGAAAATCGGTGGGAAAATACATTTAGTAAAGAAAAAGAGCTCATTCAGAACAACTTTTTTCACAAAAGGATATGATCCTTAAGGTAAGTCACAGTTACTCTGTGATCAACTCCCAAATATTTACACTAATTAAAAAAATATGTTTGGGGCTTCCCTGGAGGTCCAGTGGTTAAGACTCTGCACTCCCAGTGCAGGGGACACAGGTTCGATCCCTGGTTGGGGAACTAAGATCCTGCATGCTGCACAGCTCGACCAAAACAAAAAAAAATTATATATATATATATATATATATATATATATATGTTTAACAATTTCTTTCTTTCTCTTAAATGAAAAGTGTGATACTCAACAAATATTAAGATTTTGGCATATTTGGATCCTTTTCTTTCCCTTGAATATAGAAGTGTATCTCAATTCTAGGAATTCACCTCATTTCACAGAAAATAAAGGCACGCTTCAAAGGTCTACGTTAGACAGAAATTCTTTATTTCCCTGGGTCTAAACCGACAGAACTGCAGCTTTCCTCTTTTCACTTCCCATCTCTCCTGACTACAAAGCCATCATCTCTGCTACACCTGCCTTGGGAATTGCCTCTCAGTTTTTAGTGCTCACCTTCAAACAGCCTCGCATTGTTTTGGTAGACACTATAGAAACACTGTTTTTACACTGTTTTTACGGCAGCTTCCTTTCATTATAATTGGGGTTTGCTTAATTTTTCTACCAGCCTTTCAAGCTATTGGTTAAGAAAAATTTATACTATTGGGATTGATTTCTGTAGATAGCTAATCTACCTTTGTTTGCTTCATTCCCACCACAATTTTCCTCAGTTAAACTAGAAAATCCATCATCTGCCTCTAAGGCCGAAAGTAGCCCTCTCCCTTGTCTGCAGCGACACCTTCTGGTCAAAGTTCTAAACTACATGATTCCTAGCTGGACTCCCTTTTCC